AGGGGTCACAGCTGCAAGAGGCAGCTTTAGGAGATCGCTAACAATTGGGGGTCCACTAATCACACACACACACACTTACAGAGGCAGCTTTAAATGGAGCACCAGCACCAGTGCAGACCGCTTCACTCTTAGCAGGAATTCTGTGAGCAGCCACTCAGCCTTTCTCTGTTTCACCCCTTCATTCTGCAAATCTCTCACCTCTAGCCCCTCTGTTGGGCCAGCAAACCACTTCACAATCCCACCCTCCCACTCGCACACACACAAACACTCCAAGATGTCCTTGGTCCTTTATGGCGGAGGACAGATGGTGTCCTGCCTTACACCACTCAATTCTTTTTTCCCTTCTTTCTCTATTTTTTATCTGTTCAGGAAGGGGGAGACATGCTCTTGGGAAAGTGACCTAAACGTAGTGAACGCTTTAGTGAGCCTTGAGTGGAGAAAGAGACAAAATGTGCATTAAAAAGCTGAATTTGATGTTTGTCTCAAACTTTTTTAACCATGCATTTAATGTACATTCATGTACTCAGACGTATTTTAACCCCCACTTACACACACACAACAAAGGCCCAAACAAAGGGGTATTATTCCTTTCTAATGTGTAGTTGGACCATTTAGTGCTCACTAACAGCTAAACACACACACACACACACCTTCCATTCCATCTCTGCTGTGTGACCGGAGTTTCACTGTTAACCTGTGCTGGATGCACAGATTCAGCTCTTCTTCAGTTGTTAGTGTGGCCATCAGTGTTCAACTGGAGAGATTAACAGCCATTTTAACCCCTAGTTCAGACAGCGGTATTGATCTGGACTGATATACTTCTGTATAAATTCCCAGCGAGACAAACCGGGCTTGAAATCTGGGTTTAATCTGAGGTTAGCCCATCTCTATCGATCCACGAGGGCTTTCAAGATTCTCCTGTTCTAGAAGAGTGTTCTGAGGTTCATGAGGGGAGTATTAATGTTCTTGAATCACGGGAATGTTCTGATGCTGGAGTTCACATATAAAGAGAGTTCTAATGTGTTTATACATGAGGATCATTTCAATGTTCTAGAATTCTTAGAGAGTTCTGCTGCTGTAGTTCACACATTAATATTCTACTGTTCTGAAGTTTATGACTATGTTGTAGATATCTAATGGTCTTGAACAGAATTTTATTTATCTAGGTCACTGGAATGTTCTAATGTTGCGGACACTAGAAGATTTGTAATGTTCTAGAATGCTATAGAATGTTATAGATATCTAATAGTCTAGAACACTGGAGATGTTGTAATGCTGATATTTATACAATTATACAGAATTTTATTTTAACAGAATTTTACTGTTATAGATCACTGGAATAATCTGATGCTGAGGAGTCAGAAGACATTACGAGAGTTCTAATGCTCTAAAATGCTATAGAATTGTATATGTATCAAAAGGTCTAGAACACTGAAGATGTTTATGCTGCTAATATTTATACATTTTACATGAACAGAATATTATTGTTCTAAATTACTAGAATTTCAAGATGCTGAGGACACACTAGGAGAGTTCTAATATTCTAGAATGCTCTAGAACATTGGAGGTGGCTTGAAGGTGATATTCATGCACTTTTACTGAATTTCACTTCAACAGAAGTTTACTGTTCTATGACTGGAATGTTCTGATGCTGAGGACACATTAGGAGAGTTCTAATGTTCTAGAACACTATCGATAGAAGCATGCAGGATCTTAAATCATAACCCCATTCAAATCCAAAACCCTTGTGAAAAATACATGTAATTCTGCATTCATTGTAATAACGGATGTACCTGCCGGGCTTCCAAAGTATTCATATTTAAACCACTACCCAATAAAAATGAGAGAGTTATTGGGTGTAAGAGGAAAAAGAGCAAGAGAAATATTATTATTACTATTACTATTATTGATATGATTTTTAAATATTAATATATGCATTGAGCATACAGTATACAGAACCTTATTTTAGCTATGATATTTAATATAAAATATAGCTGATCGTGGGTTTTCAAAGAAGTGGTTTTAAAATGTATTAGATTTTAAATATTTGTTCAGTGAAATATTGCAAGCACAAGCATTTTATTTTTTTTTAAACAGTACTCTTCAGATTCACTTTCACACCAAAATGTTTTTGAAACAGGTGGTTTCGGAAGGGTTTGATCTAATGACACATGTGATGAGCCAGTGTTTCTGCTGCATGTATGTGTGATAGACTGTGTTTGCCATGCGCAGTGGGGGCCTTAATACAGAGAGCTGAACTGCCCCTCTTTTATAAGGAGCATAATAGCCATTCGCTCACAGCTGACCAACACTATCAAAGGGAGAGGAGGCATGTGGGATTACAGATTTAACGAGCCCTTTGTGCAGACTAATTTCATGTGAATAAGGGTCTGTAGGAGCTCATCCACCCCTTATATCTACCACAGGTGAACCCCAAACAAACCCCACACACACATTCAAACTGACAGAAAACACAACACAATGTAAAATGAAATATATACTCACTGAATGACACAAATTGCAATTGATTTGTTTTCAGTGCATTTTATTGAAAATGCAAATACTGAAGCAACGAAAAATGTTAAAAAGATTTTTCGAAGTAGTAAACAAAGATTACTGATGTTTTACAAAACAAAGATACTTTTTCAGTTTTTTTCTACTTCAAAAATGTAATTCACTGTGTTACTGGCCACTTCTTTGTGATTATGTATACTAACAATTTCTGAATAAAAATTGTTACTATGCCAAAACTAAACTTTTTTTCAGTAGAAATGTATATATTTTATGTTTTTATATATAATTTATTTATTTTATTATATTAAAAAATATGGGCTTCATGGAATCATAGAAAGTTATTACTCAGTATTACCAGACTGTTCTGTTCCTGCTATGGAGAAAAAAAGTATAAAAAGAAAAATCCCCATGATGATCATGTTTTGAATTGGAACATTTAGTTACTCAACAGTCCTATCTAATTAAGCCATGAGAAATTAAATAACTCCAGCACAGGGTCGATATAATTACTGCTAATTTATTGCTCAGATTATTCACCATTAATTCTTATTCTCTCAAACGCAGACTGGAGGAACTATACCAGAGAGATAACTGTTTAATAATAATAAACACTAGGCCTTTTTGTCCCTTTAACAGGTCTAGCATCGTTTATGCGTTATTAGGATGTGTAATTGAACAGCCCATAGTTTGCATATTACTTTATTATGCTAATGTGTTTTCTGCTTGGCCATGCACGACTGTGTTAAAGTTTCTGAATCTTAAAATTACAACTCAATTAACACGACCGCTCCTTGCGTTTCACCAAAACTCATGAGCATTTGGCAATCTGCACTCACAATAAGTATCATGGGACTATCATGCTTTTTTTAGACATGTTACTACCATGTATTTTTTGCACTGCACACAGAGATGCATTATAAAGAAGTGAAAAAAAACGTGTGGAGAACAGTGCATGTGGGTGCATGTTAACAAAAGGCCGTGGCTGGGGTGGAGGTAGAGTCTGCCATTCACCTCTCTCTGGCCCTGCGGCCCTGCGGTGCCCTGTGTGCGCTTTTCAGGCTTTGAAATGGGCTTTATGTGCACAGGGAGAGAGAGAGAAAAGGCTCGAGCAGCTGTGACGTGGGCGGCGTTGTTTCATTCACCTCTCGCCATGGCAACGGACAGGGGCCCGAGAAATATGCCCCCTCCTTGAGCCATGAGAGAGACACAGAGAGACTCTGAAATCCCATCAGAACACAGAGTGCTGTTATTTCATCTATATAATAATATAAACAAACAGAATTATTATAATGTCACCTGAGTCTAAAATAATTATTAATACTCAGATACCCATTTAATAATCATAAACACTGTAAGGATGACTAACATTACACTTCATGGAAGTCTATAATTATTGTGATTTTTTTGCCTTATTTTTTTTATTTTAATTTAATTTTAATGAAGAAAACAAATTTTTGAAATATAATTTTAATGAAGAAAATTAAGTAAAAAAATTTAGCAGAAATGACAAAGCATTGTGAAACAGATAGACATTAAAAGGATGGAATGATGGTGATATTTTAAAGTGCAGGGCACATTTCTGAATTTATGATTAATAGTCTTTTTTAATTTTCTATATGAAATATATTATGCACCCACGTCTTATTAATTAATTTTTATTGTAGAAGAGCATTTTGTTTTATCCAGTTATAAGACATAGATATATTTTAATATTAAAAAAAACGTTTTGCACTTTTGTATTGTCTTTATCAATTTTTTGTTTATTTATTCATTTATTTTAACTACAGATTACTGTATATAAGAAATATTTAAAAGAACTATATAAACATATGTTTAGGTTTACTTTATATATATATATTTACTATTGCATATATATATAGAGAGAGAGAGAGAGAGAGAGAAAGAGAGAAAAAGAGAGAGAAAGAGAGAGAGAGAGATAAACAGTTAAATATATAAAAATATTAGGTTTTTGACAAATTTATTTACCATTTATTTGAAATGTTAACATGATATATAATAAACAAGGTTATAAAAATATATGTAAAAAATGTTTTCATATGCTAGTTTTCACGGATAATATTAAAAACAAGTTTATTCCTTTTTTAACAAAACATTCATAAAATAACCAATAATAAATAATTCATCTAAAATTTATTATTTAATTATATTGGAATGACTATCATATAAGTAACAGCCAAGTAAAACAGCATATTACTACTAAATTGCGAAGCATTTAAACCTAAAGAAAAAGTTAACGAAAGCCAGGCTGGATACCTTTGGAGCCCATTGCGCCCTGTCACTGCTGATCCCTCTGTGCTTGTTTTCAGTGGAGCGCAATGGGATGGGGCTTCAGTGTCGACTCTACTGTGACCAATGAACACGCCGCTGCCGCATCTGTCAAGCGCTTCTGACCAATCGACAGCAGCGCGAGGCGGATCTCAGGTGCGCGCCTCTGCGTCCTCGCGGCTCTGGCGCGCTGGGGAGCCGCCTGTGGCACAGAGTAGCTGTGGAAACTATGGCGACCGCGGCGTCCAACCACTACAGCATCCTCACGTCCAGCTCGGAGCCCGGCAGCATGCAGCAGACGCCGCCGCCGCAGGCCTACAGAGACGCGCACAGCCTTCTGCAGAGCGAGTACACCACCCTGCAGAGCAGCGGCAGCACGCTTGGCCATGCGCACCAGTGGCTGACGGCGGCGCTGTCTCACGGGGGAGAGGGGTCGCCGTGGCCCGCCAGCCCGCTGGGCGAGCAGGACATTAAGCCGGTGGAGGTGCTGCAGCATTCGCCGCGGCAGGCGCATCTGGTGCAGCAGAGCCAGCAGCATCACGAGGCAGGCGCTTGGCGCGCCACCACCATGCCGAGCATGAGCACCTCCAACGGGCAGAGCTTGATCTACTCTCAGTCCGGGTACGGCGAGCCGGGGATGCACCACGAGGAGCACCACAGCCCTCATCTGAGCGAGCACGGCCATCCGCAGAGCCTGCACTCAGACGAGGACACGCCGACCTCAGACGACCTGGAGCAGTTCGCCAAGCAGTTCAAGCAGCGCCGGATCAAGCTGGGTTTTACGCAGGCGGACGTGGGGCTCGCGCTGGGCACCCTCTACGGCAACGTCTTCTCCCAGACCACCATCTGCAGGTTCGAGGCGCTCCAGCTAAGCTTCAAGAACATGTGCAAACTCAAGCCCCTGCTGAACAAATGGCTGGAGGAGGCGGACTCCACCTCGGGAAGCCCGACCAGCCTGGATAAGATCGCGGCGCAGGGGAGGAAGAGGAAAAAGCGGACCTCCATAGAGGTGAGTGTCAAAGGGGCCCTGGAGAGCCATTTCCTCAAGTGCCCCAAACCCGGCGCGTCGGAGATCAACTCGCTGGCGAACAGCCTGCAGCTGGAGAAGGAGGTGGTGCGGGTTTGGTTCTGCAACCGGCGGCAGAAGGAGAAGCGAATGACGCCCCAAAACGGACCGATGGCCGGGAACGAGGATGTGTACGGGGACGCCTCGCCTCACCACGGCGCGCAGACACCTGTTCCGTGAGAAAGGGGCGGCCTGAAACATAATCGACTGTCTCTTTGTCCCGGTCACAAGCCCGCTCGGGGCGGACCGACGGTGATGAAGTGTCTCCTGTGTGTGTGGCACCTCCGAGGGCGCGGAGAGCGCGCGTGGTTGCGCGAACAATATACGGGCGCGGGCGCCAGAAAACACGCTCTCAGGCGTTACGCGCCACGGCTGAACCTAAAGAGGGAACGTAAATATTATTTTATTTAAGAGATTTCTTTTTTCAAGTCCGAGGATCTGTGAAAGCATCATATCACTTCCAACCGAAAGCTGTGAAAAAAGGCGTCAGGGGCGCGCCATCTTCCCCTCATGACCACAAAAGGTTTCTTACTTATTGAAATTAATTTCGGTGCAGTCTGCTGTTCACACTCTCTTCCATATATAAATGGAAAATGCTTCGTTATTATTATTATTATTACCGTCACGATCACAAAAGGTTTAATACTGATTAAAATTATGTCTGCATTTCATTCGCCTTTATATATTAATGGCAATAAATAACCTAATAATAATAATCATAATCATAATTATAATAATAAACTAAATATCTTTAAATATTTAAAATATTTAAATAAAAAAATCCAAAAATTCCTAATACGAAAAATTAACAATAACAATATTTATTATTGTTATTTTATTGTTATTATTAACACTATGTACATATTAACATATCTAAAATGATCACTGTTAAATGCAAACGTGATCAGTTCTTTAAAAGTCTAATTTCCGTCACAACAAAGGCTGCCAAGTGCTGCTGTGTGTCTTTCACAGGCAAAGCAGCCTGATTTCATGCAGATCACGAATGCACACAGCTGGTGCAAAACAGAGGCCTGGGGAAACAGTAAAACCCAGAATCGCAGAGTGTTGTGGACCATATCGAAATTTCTATTCACAAATCAAATTAATGGATACCAGCTCTTTATAATTAACCGCCCAGTTTGGGCTTTCTTAACATTTTGACTGAATTTCTATAAGCGTGCACCAAAAGCGTTCATGATTTGAGACAGTGGCTTGTTTATAAAGATTCTTCCTCCTCTTAATTTAAACCATTTTTTGGTTATTTAGCCTTTTCTAATCTAGGAACTCGAAAAGAAACCAAAACTGACCCGTATAATTTATTATATTTTATATTAAAGATAACAACAAACCAAGCTTTTATTTAATTTCAGTCATTTGTCTGGAAACGCTTTATATGGAAATGGCAAGATGTAAAAATTATATTGATGACGACATAATAATAATAATAATAAAAGCAAATTGTTCTTGCTTGTAATTATTACAGTAACACCGTTCAAGATTTAAAAACAACAACGACAATGTAATAATAATAATAATAATAATAGACTAATAGAGGCCAGTTAATCTTGCCCATTATTATTATAGAAACATTGTGTGATTTTGTGCGTCAATTAAATGCCTCAACATGTTTGTATCTGTTTGCTCTTTTGTGTTTCTTGTTTATCCCAAATTTGTCTCTTTTTCTTTAACGGGAAATATTACACCAGCCGTGTTACGCTGATTTGATGGCCTGCATCGAAAAACAAGGACATTGTGCGTGGATTTTTCATTTGAATTTTCTATGACTCTGTGAATACTTGTATATTTGTGCACTTAACCTGGCACTGCCAAAGCACAAGCTGTCAGTGTGCCCTATTGAGACCAGTAATGTCTTTGGTTTTGACAGAAAAATTGCACAGTTTTTAAACGCCTTTTGTCATTAAATGAATGCGTTTTTATATAAAGAAGTGCCTCTCATCAATCTGTGCCCCGCGGATGAAGATCCTCAAGATAAATGGATTCACAATTTCACACGTTACTCGAGCATCAAGGCTGTTGAATATAATGTTGCCTCGGGATGAGATGCTGCTGTAGATCCAATTCCTTCGCTTCGATTTCTGCGTGACCATGGAGGCAAATGTTTGCCATTTCACTGGTAATGAAGACGGATTTGACGGGTTCAAACGGGTTCCGAAAGAGATCGGAGACGTACGTGAATATTTTATGATGCTATTCTGGATCTAAATAGGCCCTTTTTATTCATTTTTTATTTAAACGAGTAAATGGCTTTACATTCATGAAAACAAAAAAACTACTGCTAGTGATCTGTTAAATCATATTGTAATAATAGCTTTTAAACAATTAATCATATCTTTTAAACGATCAAATATAGCCTATTGCATTTTAATATAGGCCTATTTATAAGACGGTCTTTTCAAATATCATCGGCCATTTCCTTTAAATCAATTTACTGCTCCATCAATGTACAATTTTAGGAAAACGACTAAAAGACTAGATGTCAATTTATTTACTGTGTGTTTATAGGCTAATGAATAGTGGATCCTAGGGCCTTGGGAATTTCACTGCCTTGAAAAACTGCGTAAAGCCGCATTTGTGTGTGTGTGTGTGTACTGGTTTATAGTACAGACTCATGGGGACTAGTGGCACGGTGGGGACCATTGTGGTCCCCACGGGTACAAAAGCTTATAAATCATACAGAATGAAGTTTTTTGAAAGTCTAAAAATGCAGAAAGTTTCCTGTGAGGGGTAGGGTTGGTGTAGGGCAACAGAATATACGGTCTGTACAGTATAAAAAGCATTACGCCTATGGAGAGTCCCCATAAGGATAGCTGACCAGACGTGTGTGTGTGTGTGTGTGTGTGTGTGTGCATGTTTATGTGGTTTATGAGGACACAAATTTGTATAATAACATGGGTATGACATAGGAATTACAACGAGAAGGTGATTTATGAGGACATTTTCAGTGTCCCCGTAATTCAAAAGGCCTATAAATCATTCAGAATGAAACCTGTGTGTGTGTGTGTGTGTGTGTGTGTGTGTGTGTGTGTGTGTGTGCTGTGAGCGCCATCTATTGACTAGGCCTATAATGTGTTAGCAATTCTTAATGAAATTGAGATAGCCTATTACAGTTGTCGATCTGTTTGCATGTTCTGTTTAGTCAAAATATAGTCATAAAGTCATGGAATATGAGCTTGGGGTGTATTTTATAAAAATAGTCTACCGTTTGTAGTCACTCTTCTCGTCTGTTGTCAGTGCAGATGGTAGCCTACCTGTAAAGATTTGTGTAGGTTATTTGGTAGCGTGCAAGTCAAAAGTCTTAAGTCATTGTATATTGGTTGTGAATCATATTAATTCTGACTCTTGTAGCGTGAGTATCAGTTTTTCCTGACCAGGTTGTGTTTGAGAGAAAGTTCTTACCTTTGGAAAGCTCTTGTTTTGAAGCAGGTGGCACATAAACACTTTATGGATTGCTTAAGGTTGAATATCAACTTTAAAACTGGCTTTATTTTAAAACCTCAGTGTTCTCTAAATCTTATGTTGGATTTCTAACAATCTGGCACACAGGACAGGCAAGTGTTCACCTTACTTTGCAACGCGGAAATATTTAGTTTGAATGCGCGAGACTTCCGTTTCATTAGCCGCTATTAATTAAAGTAACAAAGTACGTATTTGCGTTACAAACCAGTGTGTTTATGATTACGATAATATATTATAGCCTAATCATATAACAAATACCAGTTTGCAATATCAAGCAGCTTAACGGATAGTTTTTGTAAGGGTAAAATAACTGGAAGCGGATAACACCGGAAGCCTCGCACGTTCACAAACGGCTGTTTCCGCTTTTACGTGAAAAATAAAGTGGATATTGAATTTTATATTAAAATATTAATAGCTGATTTAGATTAAGTGAATTAGTAAATAATTAAAATGCAACTAATAACATATAACAAGCACAATAAAAAAAAAGGTATAATTTCACTAAGCAACCATTTGTGACACACTATATAGGCTATTCTAAATCATGTATTAGTAAAGAATATTGAGAGTTAAAGAATGAACTCAGAAACCACACAACCAGAAGCGGTTAATTTAATACAGCTATATTTCATGAAATATTTTGAATATCTTTAACACATACTCCAGACAATTTTGGTTCATTTATGTTACAGTGATCATTAGTTCATGTACACACTATTACTATTTTTACTATTGCCCTTCCAACATTACTCCATCTTTGGGTTGCCATATTTCCATCACTTTTGGCATATGAGTGAGGCTGTGTGTCTTGTGAGGAAAATAACTACAGTACAAGATGGTCATGTATGGATGATAAATCTAGCTATAACTAAAGCTCAACAAGGAACCATTAAAAATTAATTTGCAATAGTCTGTAACGCTTGTAGTGAGTTTTTGAAGACGAGCCTTGAATTCTGGCCTGGTGAGCATCGTCTGAAATTCATTCAATATAATCAAACCAACAGCGTGTAAAACATACGGCTCTCAAGAGTAACTTAAACACAACTACAGATATCATGAAAAAAATATAAAACTCATTAAATGTCAATAATAAGTCTTGTGCAATACTCTCAAATATAAATTAAATCACAAGCGATAATTAAAAAAGGTCAAGTGGTCCAGGAATAACACATAGTACATACAGAAAAAAAAGAAAAAGATTTTAAAAAATATATAAATAATTGTTTGTTTTTTGAATCAGGCACGTCTTAAATCAAGAACAATACAAACAATCAAACAAACATCTTAAGAAAGAATATGATGCTAGTACTCAGACTGGCTGCCAATTTTAGGACTTTGTACTTTAAAGGAATAGTTCACCCAAAAATGAAAATTTGTGTAAAATGTACTCACCCTCAGGACATCTAAGATGTAGATGAGTTTGTTTCTTCATCAGAACAGATTTGGAAAAATGTAGCATTACATCACTTGCTCACCAATGGATCATCTGCAGTGAATGGGTGCCGTCAGAATGAGAGTCCAAACAGCTGATAAAAACATCACAGTAATCCACAAGTAATCTACACCACTCCAGTCCATCAATTAACATCTTGTAAAGTGAAAAGCTTCATGTTTGTAAGATACATGTTCATCTTTAAGACATGTTTAACTTTAAACTGTTGCTTCGGGTTAAAATATGAGTCCTCTATCCATAATATTGTTTTCTCCATCTTCACAAGATGTTAATTGATGGACTGGAGTGGTGTGGATTATTGTGATGTTTTTAATCAGCTGTCTGGACTCTCATTCTGACGGCACCCATTCACAGCAAATTTTCATTTTTGGGTGAACCGTTCCTTTAAGTCTTTGGTACGTTTAAATAATTACTGGCATGCAAACCTTTTATTTCTAACAAAGCACCAGTTAATTAACCTGATATTTATTTAAACCATTTTTCCTACACATTTCTGTATAACATTGCATTTGAACAAACATGAGATAAGTACATTTGCATTTGAAGGGCGTAAAAATGGTGAGACACTTCCCATTCTTTCTAAGAAGTGCTCTATATACGGCGTCTTAATGCAGGATCATGTTCAAGATATTAAAAGGGCATTTGTGGCAACAAGAAGGACGTTTGTACGGCACAGCAAGATACAGATTATATCTCACTACGCAACAGAAAAAACATAAGTCTCATTCGTTGTGCATCGGCCCCTGGGAGATCACTCCTGCGAGTATGTTCATGTGTGACGATGACTCAGTGACTCAGTCATGCAGCAGATGGACACACACACACACACACACTCACACACATCAGCTGTCTGTCTCCATCTGTATTGTGTTATGCGTCTCCTGTAATGGCTGCATTTGAGAAACACTGCTGCATTACCAGGGTATTCTGTTCTATTCTGGTCCAGTGTTTTCTGTCATGATGCTGCCCACAGGAGGCGCTCTTGCACAATCACAGATCCCCATCTGAAGTGTTTGCTGTTCGACAAACACAAGTGATGTTTTTAGCTACACATTCAGCACATATAACATCTGCACACACATGAGTCTCGCTTTATATAGATTTAAATAGTGCGGCTGCATTCAACCGATTTAGAATCTGCATCTTGTTACTGAAAATAGGCTTTGAAACACAAACAAATAAATGACCATATTAGTCATTTTATATTTATTTATTCACCATATTTGCTCCTATATGAATAATTCAGCCAAAATCAAATAATAATTTGTCAATATTCAAATATGCAGGGAGTAGTGATGAGACATGAGATATGTTAATGTTAAACCTTGTTTCATGTGTGCAAAGTTAAATACACTTTTAGATTATAAACATGCTTAATTTTCTTTTGAAAAATGCCTTATGTTGTCTTGTCTGACTGATAGTCTATACTTTTTTTAGAAAGTAAAAGGCCTTTTAGTATCTTTCCAAAATGTTGTGGTACACTTCTTTTTGTAAGCATAAAAATTACTTCAAAAACTTGTGAGCATCAAATAGGACACATCCAGCTAGAGTGACAACTGATATTTATATGCATTTTATGTAAATAGACTTGTTATGCCTAGAGCAAATTGAGTGTAATCTCCATATGCTCATATATCATATTATATGAACCATAAAACCATAAAAGCCAGATGTATCAAATATGATACTCCAAAAAAGGCCAACTTTATTTATTTATTTATCAAAATAAATAATTTAATCATTCAGTAGGTCAGAAGACCTAAAATACAGTGCAGAAGTTATATAAACCACTTTTATGACGCTTTTTTAGATCTTGACAGCCTCTGGTCACTGTATGCTTTTATAAAAAATGCATAAACTTTGTTTAAAATGTATCCGTTATGTTCTACAGAATAAAGTAAGTCATATAGACTAGGGATGATATAAGGATGATTCAATTACAGAGGTTTCATTTTTGGGTGAATTATTCATTAATGCATTGCATAATTGGCCATAAAAATTTAAATGGCAAGATCATCAATTTGGGAATTCTGCTATGCTGCAATGGTTTGAGGGGAAAAAAAACCTTAGACTAACATTTTCACAATAACTATCTATCAGCTTTCTCGCTCTGCATATTCCGGTTTTAGCTTTGTAGATTTGACCGAATAAAACTGGACATGAATTTTAGATGAACTATGAGATATTATGCCGTCTAAATCAGTCAAGTATCTACACATTTCAATCATCACCCAAAATCCTTCTTTCTGTCTGTCTACCCGTATACTAATAAACCCCAGGATGTAAGAAGTGCTGTTCGGCTACAAACACACTCAGTGAATGGGGAGTGGTCACATGAGATGATGTCATTCTGCTGATGTCCAGCGCAGTGATGATGTCACACCACAGGAGTGATTCAGCTGAAGCGTCATTCTCACTCTTTTTTTATTCTGTCTTCTTCCTGGATTCTCTATAGCCTGGCCTTCCCTCGTTTAATAAAATCCTCGGTTTCATTAATTAAAAAGTGTCAGAATAACTTTCCCGTCGGATTTATTGCCATCCCTCGCTCAGAGTCTGGGAAAACCGCTGCCACGTCACCACATCTTTATTTGACCAGCCCTTCCCCTTCTAAAGGGCTTGTGGGAGAACAAAGGTGATGCATCTGCCCGTGCAGATGCCTCATCAAGGGGGTGTGGTTTTCACTTCAACTGCTCCATTTCCGAGCATTCGGTGTCCATGTCTGAGTCGAACAGAGAGCATCCGGTGACGTCGCTGTCCGGTGATGGCGTGTCGTGGTGCGACAGAGTGCTTTCCTGCTCCTGGAAGCTGCCACTGTGCGAGTACAGACCCAAATCTGGAAGCTGGGAAGGAGAATCCGGCTCCTCACTCAGTCCGTCGTAGTAAAGGTCGTCCACGTCCACAAACCACTCCGGCCAGAATTTGCGGCGGATTCGCTCACAGTACATGGCCAGGTTGATGAACTCGCCTGCACCGATGAAGCAGCTTCAGTCAGTTAATGCGCTCATAACTTTATATGACAGTATTCTCAAACAAAAAAGCAGGAGTTCATGACCTCACCTTTGATTAACTGCTCCGGACGCGTTCCTGGGAGAGTCCACATGGCTTGAGCGAGATGACCAAATACAGCAGCGTCTACTGTAGAGAACTTCGGGCCCATTAGATACTTTTTATTGCCTGTGGGAGAAATTATATTATTAAATTATTTGTATGTTTTTAATGTGTTTTCTGGTTTGTTTCTATGATGCTCTGGTCTCTAGATATGGATCAGGTACCTATGGAAGCTTGTTTCTACCACGGATTAAAAAATAAAAAAGGTCATTGTGAAATTCTATCTGATTTTTTCCATGTAATTGCACATTTATATCTTACAATTTGGCTTTTTTTCTCAGAATTGCACGTTTATATCTTGCAATTTTCTCAGAATTCTCAATTCACATCTCACAGTTCTGACTTTTTTTTCTGATTTCTGAATTTACATCTTTTTTTTTCTCCCCCACCATGGACTAAAAAAAATTAATTGTGACTTTTTTCTAGCATTTGTAAGTTTATATCATCACAGTTCTAAGAAGAAAAGTCAAAATTGTGAGATATAAACTCAGAATTGGGAGATAAAAAGTCACAATTACCTTATCTTTTATCCCATGAAGGTAGTAACAAGTTTTCATAGCAATTCACATGTAGTAAGAGTAGTTTTTTTTCAGGATTATGCATCAAGACACATTTATTTGAATAGTAAAATTACATTAAGTATTGTTTTCTGACAAATTTATCAAAATTAATGTATAAATTGTATCAAATTGTATCAAATTAAGTTTATGCTTAAAACGAAGTAAGAAAAAGAATCTTGTTTTGCCTTAGAATTAAGTTTATTTTCATTACCCCCACTTACATATTTCAGGAAACAAGATTTAATTAAATAATTTTGATTCTCAAGTCAAGTGTATCTTGATGTAAAATGTACTGCAGAATAAGAAAGATACTGAGAAAGAAAATCTTATTTTTTTTCTTTTTCTAATGTTTTTTTATTGCTATGATATTCTGGTCAATGTCTATGGGATTTTTTTTTTTTTTCATTCTTAAACCAAGTTGAAATAAATAAATAAATAAAATCCTAAAATGATCAATTTTGTTTCAAAATTCACCAGAAATATTCCACAATGTTTTAGGTCAAGTTGAAAGTTCAGTCTTTAGTGTTCTCTATCAGCAGGATTTAGTCACTGTCCACTTCATTGGTGCTGAAATTCATTAAAAGCATCATAGTCATTCGCTTTCTCTTAAGTTTCATACTTATGATTATGTGTCTGATCTTAAGTCAATTCATAATATTTCAATTGTATTTGTGTAATGCATGTCTGAATCAATAGCTCATTTTTTGCAGTGTGAAAGGAGGATTTATGCTTACTGGACATAGAGGGCAGCACAAATCCATCGCTGCATTATTTTGTAACCTGTTTCAAAAGCTCTGAACTCTCGAGGTTCATCTAGAATGACCTATATAACTGCATATGAAAAATGACTCAAATGCAGCAAGTTCTGTGAGTAAAGCTCACAAACTGTGCCTCAGATGTTCAAAACATACCAAGGAATGTGGCAAGGGTGCGCATGTCTTTCTCCATCAGAGAACTATCAGCAGGATTTAGTCACTGTCCACTTCATTGGTGCTGAAATTCATTAAAAGCATCATAGTCATTCGCTTTCTCTTTAGTTTCATACTTATGATTATGTGTCTGATCTTAAGTCAATTAATAATATTTCAATTGTATTTGTGTAATGCATGTCTGAATCAATAGCTCATGTGAATGATCGTGGAATAACAGCAAGTCCATCAGCCTTTCCCAGGGCCTCGTGTAACCTGAGATGTTTTGCTGAGTGAGGACTAACAGCACTGCCATTTCTGCAAAGGTCAGAGACGAAGCAAAAGCACAGAATTAAACTCAACTGGCTCTGATCACTATATTGACGGGTCACTATTTACACCGTCTCACAAGGGGTCGATAAAGGTCATTCTGTCACATCACAATAACACAAGGAGACATTATCCTAAAGGCCTACACACAGAGACGCTCCAGCAACCGTGCCCTTGACACATCAACATGTCAACATGCAGGCTTTAGACAAGGTAATAAACAGCATCCTGCTCAAAATTCATTCAGTTAGCAGGTATTCATTCATCAGTGGAGGATAATGAATGGACTGCATTGCATTGTGTTGACATGATTTTGCAGGATATTAATTTAGGTAATATTTCCCTGTTCATGCCCCTCTCACTCCACCCAAAGGAGAATTTTATATATATATATATATATATATATATATATTGCATAGATTGTAATAATAATAATAATATAATGTATTAGTAGTAGTAGTATATGATTATTAAATAGTATTTATAAAATATTATATATATAATAAAAATATATATAAATTAAATCTAAAACATTTCAAATATATTAAAATATAAACATATTACATTAAATCTAAAACACTGAATAAAAATATTTTATAATATATTTCCATAAATAATTTAATTTTTTTTAAATCACAAGCACTGCATATATAGTAATAATATTAGGAGTAGTAGTATATATAAGCAGTGCTTGTGCTTCAAAATACTTTTAATATATATTTTATAATCTATAGAAATTTATTATAAAATATTTTCATTCAATGTTTTTATTCAAGTACTACTCCTAGAAAGTACTGCATAGATGGCAATTATTATTATTACTACTACCACCTATTATTATTCCTACCTATGCCGTGCTTTATTTAAAAATATATAAGTACTTACAATAATTACAGCACTTCTAATAAAATGATAAATTAAATATTTTTATTAAATATTAAATATATATACAAAAATATAATACCTTCATAGACAGCAATAATAATAATAATAATTATTATTATTATTATTATTATTACTATTACTACTACGGTCTAGGCATTGCTTATATATAAAAATGCTAATATATAAACACTGCATGGTTGGCAATAATAATTTTAATAGAGTACTGCATAGATGGATATATGGATGGATAGATAGATAGATAGATAGATAGATAGATAGATAGATAGATAGATAGATGATGGATGGATGGATGGATGGATGGATAGATGGATAGATAGATAGATAGATGGATAGATGGATAGATAGATATATGGATGGATAGATGGATAGATAGATAGATGGATAGATGGATAGATAGATATATGGATGGATGGATGGATGGATATATGGATAGATGGATATATGGATGCATAGATGGACGGACGGACGGACGGACGGACGGACGGACAGACAGACAGACAGATAGACAGATAGATAGATAGATAGATGGATAGATAGATATATGGATGGATGGATGGATGGATATATGGATGCATAGACGGACGGACGGACGGACGGACGGACGGACGGACGGACAGACAGACAGACAGATAGATAGATAGATAGATAGCTAGATAGATAGATAGCTAGATAGATAGATAGCTAGATAGATAGATAGCTAGATAGATAGATAGCTAGATAGATAGATAGCTAGATAGATAGATAGCTAGATAGATAGATAGCTAGATAGATAGACAGATAGACAGATAGATAGATAGACAGATAGATAGATAGATACCTAATGACAAGCAGCTCGTGTAGTAAATAGGCAGTGGCGGCGAGCAGCGCCCCCCCGGTGATGTAGAGCGTTTTTCTCCACCAGGAGTCAAACCCTAACGCAGACATGATCCCTCCGTACTCCTGCAGCGGGTAGGCGATGATGTACCCATACAGCGACAGATGCTCCTCGGAGCCGCTCAAGCCGAGCGAGAAGCTCTTGTTCCGGCCCAGCTCAAGCGCGCAGGAGCGGCTCCAGGCGAAGCCGATGCGCCAGTACATCTCTCTCCTCTATCCGCCCTTCAGCCCGCTGTGGCTCCGGCAGAGGAGGCTTCATCAGTGCCGCGGGGTGGAGGTGGAGGTGGAGGTCAGAAGGTCTGAGGACAGATGTCGCCTCCTGACGCGCGCTGGAGTCGCCATCAATCCGCAGCCGCTCGCGCTGCTGTTTACCGCACAGCTGAGAGCGCACGTCACCAGGGGCGGGGCTGGCGATGCTGCGGGGGGCGGGGCGTGCGCGCAGATTCTCCACTCTCATTGGTCAGATCCACTGCTGTCATTACAGTTTGGTAACAACAATTTCATAACAGGTCATATAATATGAAATAATGTTTCAGTAATTTGTAAATGCTTCATTCTTTTGCTCCAAAAAATAATGGAAAGCTTTGCAACTAACCACATGGACAAAGGATTATTATTTATTATTTACATCAGTGTTATTTTAATATCATTGAGATTTTAAAGAAAGAATTCAAGATAAATTCAGTTGTATTTTTTTTTTACATTTTTTGTTTAAATTTTTTAAAGCCATATTTAAGTTGTATTAATTTTGTTGTGTTTTGTCGATTTTATTTTGTTTTTTTTTTATCAAATAAATCTAAATAGGTTTTTCATCATTTTGTATTAGTTATTTCATGATAATTGGGACATTTTTGTTGGTCATTTTAAAGAGAAGTTTATTTACCTGAATTCACCCTACATCAAATTAAACTAAATTAAACTGAGAAATGTTGACTTGGCAACTAGCTGAAATAAGTTTCAGGTAGTTGCCAATGCAACGTTAAAATAAGTTTAATAAGTAATATATATATATACACTTTTTGTGCAGTTTTTTTTTTATTTTCTAAAATCTTTTAAATGATTTTAACACAGGACACTTTTTAAGCCAAAAGAACAAACAAATTGGTAATATTTTTTTCAACAGCAGCTTTATTCAATAAGGCTTCTGAGCTCCATTATAGAGAAATAAGAACACTCCAAGCCCTCTCACCCTCCACAACTCTCATATCATCAAATATATTACAGGCAAATAGTACATACACTGCATGACTGAGAGGGGCCACATTTATGCAAGTTCACTCAATAAAGATGAGGCAACACTCCTGAAGCACAGCTCAACAACGAACCTCAGTGAGAGACAAAGCCAAAAACAAAAATGCCATCCAAAACACAGCCAAACATGTAAGTACTGTAAAATCTTTTGAGGCCCTTCCACAATTAATTACGTGTCCCACAAACTAATGACGTCAGTGGAGATGCAGATGATGGGAAGTGAGGGACTTGATAACCACACCCAAGATGCAGATCTCAATTATTCAATACCTTTCAAAACTCTCAAGATATTGGCTTGTCCTCCATTAAACGTGATGGATGCTTCAGTGTGCTGCAGCTACAGAGACATCAATTCAGCATAACAGAATGACAGCAAAACACAGCATTTGGGTTATGGCAAGTACACATATAGCATAATCATACAGTAAACTTATAATAAGAGAAAAATGATAAAAACAAAGTCAAGGGCTATATATGGAAAGCATATTTACAATGCAGTTTGAGGGATCAACTCAACTATCTGTGTCACTTGTGCATTCTAACTCACATCCACACGCAAGTCAAATATCCAATCAGGATTTGATTACACAGTACGAGGGTTCAAAAGATCGCCGTCACATAGCCCTGTGGCCAATCAGTTTACAGACAGCCACTTTGTAGAGAGGACTGATCCGTTTCCCTGAGGAATACAAACTGTGATATGGTCAACGAGAGGCACGCATACAAATACATTTGCGATTAAACACACACTCTCTCTTCGTCGCTCTAAGACAGAAAAAAAAATCAAGTTTTCTTAGTTCCCAAAGAGCGTCCGCTGAAAGAAAGCTTCATGGGACTTTTCAAGGAAGTCAGGATCATCGACTAACAAGATCTGGGAAAACAGCACCTCTCTTAATCAAGCAGATACCCAATGAGGTGCGTTTGTGTGTGTGTGTGTGTGTGTGTGTGTGTCCATAACATTCAAAACCATAGCCTTAAGCTTGGCAAGAAACTCTACATCAAAGCAGATTTCCGATTAGTGAGCAGTTCTGACACAGGCTGCTCTGATTGGTGGAAGGAAGGAAGGAAGGAGGTGGCATCATTCTATCTGCTCTGATTGCTGGAAAAACCCAGAGAGGAAAGAGAGGATGTGTGTGCCAGGAATCGGTTCCCCCACAGTCATAACACAATGTGCTTGTGAAAAGCAGCGATCAGATGTGCCAGGATGTGCTGTTTGCCTCTCCGAATCACTCCGCCTCAGGTCCTCCAGCAGGGGCCGCTCTAGGACTGACTGTACGAGCTGTTTTGACTTCCGTTTGAGCTCTGGTCAGTCTCACTGTTGTACAAAAAGCAAGAAAATACAGGCGCAAAGGTGAGGTGAGAAAAAAAATTTGGCAGCTGAAATTAAATATAAACTAAATTTAGAAATACTGCCTTGGCAACTAACTGAAATAAATGTAAGTACTAAAATTACTAAAACTAAAAATGAAATAAAAATAATTTATACATAAAACATGCTTTAATAAAGGGGCTTTTCCATTTTATAAAAAACAAACGATTTAAACTTTTTCTTTGAAATAATTGTGAAATAAAATAAAATATAAATACTAGATGAAAAACTTGAACTTAAGCTAACTGAAATAAAATACATTTGAGTTCTAAAATAATTACAAAAAATAATTTAAAAAATAAAAATGACAAAAAAAATATTTAAACATAAAACAGGCCTTAATAAAGGGCTTTTTTCTACTTTTCTAAATATAAAAAAAATAACTTTTTGGTAATCGAAGTACAGCTGAAATAAAATAAAAATAAATAAATATTGGATGAAAAACGTACATTTAACTTAAATGTAAAGCTATATAGACAGCAAAAATATAATAAAATAAATAAACATGAAAACTAATTCAAAATATTAGTAAATACTATAAAAGTTTATAAATAATACTAAAAAAAGAATTGGCCTTCATAACCACGTTAAATGTGGTGCAAATGTGTAAAAGCTGTGCCATTAACCCTTTAAGATATTTTTAAAAAATTCTATAACTGTACTATAATCCTATAATTGTACTTTCATCCAGGACATTTGCAATGAGTTGCAAAGACCATATGCATTGATATGGACAGAATGAGCTTATATAGATAATACAATTAGCCTCTTTTCATTGTTTCTCTTTGCAGTGGCGAAATAAGCACCCCAGGCTGTTTCCATATAAATAAATATAGTGTTGTGTGATGTTGATAAATGAGGTCTGCAGTCTGTCGTACCTGTTAGGAGGGGGTTTGGGTTTGGGCACCTTGTTGAGCACAGTAGCCATTTCCTTCCGATCATCAAAGTTCTTCCACTGCTCATAGAGTTTCAGAATCACCCTGATGATCTCCAGGATCTGTGCCAGAAAAGCTTCAATGTTAATGTACACAGCACTCATTCATTTATTTTACAGCTGCACATGTCTTACCTTGTCCATGTCAACAGACAGCTCAGCGAACCACTGCCTGGCATCTTTCTGCTGCACCACACAGGCCACATGCAGGCAGGCTGGAGGAGGAAGGAGACAGAATCTGTAACTCTGCTCACTGGTATGTGACGTGTCAAGCTGTTATACAGTCATTTAGATCTAAAACTTCCAAGTCATCTGCTTGTTTGCAAGCATAGGACCTGCTGGATTAAGTGTAGGAAGTTTGTTCTTACCCAGTGCAATCATGAATGGAGGATAAAGCAGACACAGGTCTGTCCTGTAGGTGTCGTTCACTATCCTCCTGCACACATTCACAGGACATTCATGTCCACTTATTCAGCTTATTTCGCAACGTGGAAGTAAGTTATTCTCTGTAAATGTGCAAGACTTCTGATTCATTAGCTGCTTTAGGTAAATAACTAGAAGAAATCGAAAGTGCTGTTATTTTAGTATCATTGAGATGTATTATAGTTTTTATTAATATTTTAAATCAGTTTTATTTTTAAGATTTGCAGCTTTCATCTAAACGCTTTAGTAACTTTGTTGTGCATCTGTCAATTTTTGTTTGTTTATATGTCTATAGTTTTTATTCATTTTTAGTTATTTTAATACATCATGTTAAACTCATTTAAAATGAGAAATGCTGCCTTGGCAACTAGCTGCTATAATTTATTTTAGTTTATTTCTACAACTATTTCTATTACTATATCAACTATAATAACCCTGCAGTAAATGCTAAAACTATTTGCGCTACAAACCAATGTGTTTATAAGTAAGATAGTACATTACAATAATATTATAAGAAATAGCAGTTTGCAATATCAAGCAACATAAAAGACTGTTTTTGTACATTTAAAATAACTGGAAGCCCGGATTATCATTAACTAAAATTAAAACATTTTTGCTAATTAAATAAGGCTAGGGAGGGGGGGGGGGACAAATACTAATATTTAAAAGGAAACAAAATCTACTAAAAATGGCAAAAGCACACAATAAAATTTAAAAAAATTACTCAAATTAAAATGAAAAAAAAGTATAAAAGCTAATACAGCAGTGCCTAATAATACTAAAATAACACTGCTGGAAGCACATGACACTGGATGCCTCACACATTCGTGTTACAAATGTTCTTACTGAAAACAGGGTGGACAGAGACCGAAGAGTTTTTGGCACATGCATGGATTCAGAAGCAAGAGTCTCATATACGCAAACATATAAGTGTAAAGTCCACATTTAAACTGTTTCTTTACCGCCCACTTAGACGGCTCAAACCGATTTATAAAGCACAATGAACAGTGGTTGTGTTTTTCATGCCGTCTGAAGCCAAACGCTCCTCACCAAGCCAGCGGCAGCAGCATGTCCTCCTGACCCATGTCCTGCACATACTGCAGTAACGGTCTGTAAGGGTGGTACACGATCAGACAGCAGTCCTGAAACAAAACCAAACCAAACATCCATGAACAGATGCCAAAAACAAACATCCTAAAGAAGATGAATCAATACCAACCATGAGCTCTAGTAAGTAGAACTCGCACTCCAAGATCTAGACAAAGAGAGAGAAGCATGAGTTCACCGCGAAATCGTCACACTAATGTGCTAACTAACACGTTATGTGCACTAATGATCATCTTTCACATTACGATGATCCATAAACGTTCCACCAGACCTCTGAGATGTTTCCC